CGCCGGTTTCGATCCTCGAATTCGCCCTGCCGGTGGTTGGGGTCATTATGGGTTGCCGATGCCTTGGCTGGTAATGTTTTGTGGTTATTAAGTTCGCCCCACCGTTGGACCGCCCTTTTGGGGCTCTTGGCTGGCACACCCATGTTCTGTGCTTAAATCAGGAAGGGCAATTGAGAAGATTTGATTACTGCGACAAGACGTTTATTGGTCTGACGTTTCGGATTCTCCTTCGCAACAGTCATCAGAAGAAGTCGCGGAAAAGGGTAATGGAGTACACAGGGAGTTGCAGTATTTAGGGGATACAGTTGCTATGCTATTGCTCCCTTTTTATCGAGGACTGACGCACTTATGCGTTAACTGCTCGATGACCTGCTTGCGGGTCGTGACCTGCTGCGATTTCGTTATTCGCGTTGCATTTTTACGCGATGAATGCTCAGCCATCTGGCTCACTGGCCCTGGTTTTCGAAGATGTGCCCATCTGTGTGCTCCTCGAGCGACGAAGTTCTTTGCCCAAACTGAGCCCCAGCACCGAATATGGGTTGGGTCGTTCATTGCACATGCTACTACACTAGAGGCCCATAAATCATGCCTCAAACAAATTACCGCTCACAAACCTATCATCCCTCACGGAAATGTCCGCCTCATCGAATTTGAATGTATGACCGGGCCTCGTCGAATGATCCGCAACTTCAGGATTGGTGTCATTTCTTCTCACTGTTTTCGTGTGTTCGACAACTCGCGTCCGGAGAAGTACGAACGAACTACCGTTTGTGTTGCTGTCTCAGAGGATGGGTTCGATAAGTACTCCGAAACGTCAAGTAAATAAAGTTCTTGTCCCAGTGATCGCGTCTGCTTCTCATCCACCTCTGCCAACGTGTACCAATCGCATCTGTTTCGTCTGTCCTTATGTGTACAGTCAATGGTTGACAGTAACGTTTGTAGCCAATTGTTTAAATATACTACTATATTCATTTTAGTAGGCGTATTTATTACCATTTATTTTATTTAGATCGCTCAATGGCTTTTCTCCACGTTTCTAAATGTAGACTCACACCTGTCGGTGTCTGCTTCATGGTGGCCTCCTCTGTTCTCGCTCGGCCAGATATACAGTCAGATTTCATTCAACTGAGCCTTTTTATTGCAACTGTTGTCCTTGGCTTGGCCGTGCACTTCATTTTTGTGATCTTGGTGCAGTTGATCGCAAGCAGGAAGAACCCCCTCGACCTGCTAAAGTACTGTGCGCGTCCCTACTTGATTGCCTTCGCGACTACTAGCCCGTACGTTTGATTTGTTTATGCTGTCCTCAATTTAACCCAGCCCCCCTCTCCCCAAAAAAACAATTATTCAGCCCACTTAAACTGGGCACGTAACTTGGCACCTCACGTCCGAGTTAAAAAGGTGCCTCTTGAAATAATACCAGGAAGGGTAAATGATCCCGTGTCCTAATCCTAGCATTAGCCCAAATATAAACCTGACGCGTTACCCTACCCTAGGCCCGACCGACAGTTTGATCGTCATTTTCGATGAGGTCCAATATGTGCTCCACGGCAGGGTGGTGCAGGGACGATGACTTGCACTGGATTATAATGAGAGTAGACTTGCGCTGCAGGTACCACAATCTCTATTTCACTACTCCCGTCTGGGCCCGGTGTCACGACAGAGCTAATAAGTCCGGAGATTGGAGGGAGCGCGGATGGCTGGCGCGGCCGGAACTGCCCTCTAGTGCCGCTACACCTGGCTCGGATCCCAGCTGAGTGAGAATGTCATAAAAAACACATTAGAAGGGAACCATTGCAGCATGAGCTTTCCTTCAGCATGTTCAAAGGCTACTTCCGTCATTCCATTCCGTGAGTTTGTTTCTCACCGCCAGCAAATAACATACATAGTTCAAATGTCTACTTAAGTAGTACACATTTTTCTCGTTGGTTTTCCATGTCTCTACAAGTTCAGATATGTTTGATAGAAACTGTCCACAATAAATATTCTTTTTGTACTCATTTGGAAGCAAATCGCGTCTTCTTCAAATCTTCTCTTTAAAATGATGGAATATTTTGGTTTTGAAAATCGTTCTCAATTGTTGAATCATTTAAAATTCTAATTGAATTTTCCCACACTACATGCTGTATACATTCTGTCTAAGGAAAATTACACACTCATCGAAAATATGAAGAAAAAAAGACATAGTACGAATACAATTTAGCAGTCGATGTGGATCATATTGTATAGGTCAAGCTGATAGACTGATGGATAGAGAATATTATTAATGAACATTTCACGGTCTTAAAAAATAGCATAATTTAAAAGTGCTTTTATCAAAAATACTATATAAACCAGCTCTTAGGAGTAAATATCTCCAATAATGCCCGCCATGCCCTGATCCAGCCCGCATGCTGACCCGTGTAAGAGGCTCAAATAGCATGCTCATTGTCTTGTATACACGACGTGAAAAACCTGAACATTCAAGGTCACGAACGCCTGATGATAATTCCTAGGCGCCGATTGGCCACCTTGTGGTCTATAATCTTTCCTATACCGTGTACTCTTATAGGCTGCCTCCTGCGTGTCAAGTACACGTCTTGCCTGCTATCAGTCTTTTGTTTTGTACAAGTAACGTTCACACTTTCGCCTTTGCCCCCACCCTTTCCCCCGCCTTATCCGGTAGGGCCTGCGCCGCCGGTGAAGTTAACGAAGCGCTGGACAAGTGTGGTGTCAAGCAACTCGTCTCGCATTTTACAACTCCAGTGTGCGCCGTCATGAAGGGCGATGGACCGGGCGTTTTCATCGCTGCCTCCTGTCTCTTCCTCGCACAACAGGCGAAAATAAACTTGAGCATCGGCCAGACGTTTATTGTGCTGTAGGTTTCCATCTTTCCCTAAGACCTGATAAGCCAAAATGCATGGGTTATGCCGGTGAAATTACGAGATTCCTGTTAAATAACAATATTTTTTGCATAGGCAGTGTTTTGTTAGTAGTGGCAAAGATGTATAAAAATATCAACCTCGTGCATGTTTCTATGTTGTGCCTCTTTTATTTTTTCGACCCTGCGAAAGGTTTGGATCTTGAACGAATTGTCCAATTGATTTTTCGGAGCAGTGAAGTAGATAACACGAAGGTTCAGCAAGGTAGAATTCAGGGCAGACCATTTAGATTGTACAAACTTAACTGAGCGAAAGAGCTTACCGAGTAATTAAGGTTAGTAGAGAAAACCTTTGTCACTAAGGTCTTCAGGTAAGGTTTCGTATGGAAAAGAAGTCGGTGGGAAACCAGAGTGGCAGGAGCAGTTTATTCTGTACAAATGGAGTGGAGATTAGATTTGAAGAAACGGACACTCAGGGCAGGCGTGTGTCCGGTCGTGAGGCCGGCAGCGGAAGTGTGTGAGAGCACTGGATCGTCACAGACGCTAATAACGCTGCCTTTGTCTGCTCCCTCACGGGACGGAATCCGGTGTGAGAGTATGGGATCGTCACGCCTACAAAACGGCCTTTGTTTGAGTCAGCCTCGGGAGATGATTGGTCAGACTGGCCAGACATGTGCGCGCCGTCGCGAGGCCAAAGGTTGAGCGTTACACTTGAAGCAATGCCTGGGATCGAGCTTTGATGCAGGTTTCGGTCGCCGAAGCCAGGCGACTAAGATTGCCGTCACGTGACCTCGTGCTCAACGTAACTCGTTAAGAGGAAGTAGGGCTACCGAGCCACCACAAGTATACAATGGGCTCTGCAAGCAGTCATCGCTAGCTGCCTCTTCGGACCTGTTGTGGCCCGTAAGTGTCCGCTGTTGGGATAACCTGATCACAGAACGTGTCCTCTGTCAAATGCAGCCAATCAGTCAAATGGCGCA